TGAGCCGGTATTGGTATATGTCTTCCTTCGGGGGTCTACTTGCATGGGCTGCACGCATCTTCTTCTCCGTGTTGGCCTTAGTTGTTTTTCATTTTCAGCTCGTTCCATGGGTTGTGTATCCTGTCTTACCGAGGTGCTTGGCTGCGAAGGGTACAACAGTTCATTGAACGCAAATCCTTCGGAATGGCGCGCCTCTTGTATCCTTGTAAGCCGCGGTCGTAGTTGGTTCGCATGGCGAACCCACAGCTGTCTGCCAACACGAACATCGTACATTACTTTTCCGCGTCGTCCTACTACTTGACCTGGTATCCAACTGATTTGACGCCCTTGATGAAAGGCAGCAAACACTGCGTCACCAATTCTAAAGTTTCTGTGCCGTGCTCCATGTCGCTTGTTGTAGTGAGTTTCCATTAGTGAATTCGTATGATGTATCGGTGGGCGTTTTGGAGTCATCAAATCTAGTGTGGTCCTCAGTCTTCGACCCATGAGTGCTTCAGCGGGTGACTTTCCATCTGGTGCATTGGATTCGGAGTAATCCGATAATTTAGCAGAAAATTTCCCAGCCTTTCATCCAGGGTCCCCTCCCCCTTCGATTTTAACAAAGCATGTTTCAGGGTATCAACATACCTTTCTGCTTGACCATTGGATTGGGGATGATAAGGTGCAGTCCTCATATGCTGTATTCCATTTTGTGCACAAAAATCAGCGAATTGATAAGAAGTGAACTGTGATCCATTGTCTGATACGATCGTTTGTGGCAGCCCATACTGACTGAAAAGACGCTTCAGTGCAAGAATTGTGCTGTTTGAGGACGTATTTCGCATCACAGTAACTTCAGGCCACTTACTGTATGCATCGACAATGACGAGAAAGAAAGTTCCCTCAACTGGTCCCACAAAGTCCACATGTATTCGCGACCAGGGTGATTCGGGACGCGGCCAAGATTGTAATGTTGTGCGCACTGGTAACTTGGAAACACTGCAGCATTTAGAACAGGATCGTCCAATGTCTTCTATTTGACTATCCATTGAGGGCCAAAACACGTAGCTGCGCGCGAGTGCTTTCATTCGGGCGATTCCCGGGTGACCTTTATGCAATTGCCTCAGAACTCGTTGCCTGAGTACTTCGGGAATGACAAGGCGATCTGCGAAAAAGAGACAGGCATCGACTTCAGACAGAGCATCACGTCGTGTGAAAAACTGTGCAAGCGATTTGTCAGGGCACTGCTTTGGCCAACCTTGTCTTGTATAAGTCAAGACTTTCTGTAACAATGTGTCCCGACTTGTGGCTGCCTGAACCATTCTTGCAGTTAGTGGTAAAGTACTCACGGCATCCTGTATCATGTGGCTGATATCCGTGTCGGTTGTGATTGAAGCAATGACGGCATCCTCCGGCTCACGCCGACTAGTATCGATTAATCTGGACGGAGCGTCCGCAATATTTTGACGTGGATGAGATGGCACGGTTGTATGATGCACCATGACGTTCGTTTCGGAAAACACATGATTCAATGGCACACTAAACAAATTCAACCTTTCGATCCAATCAATCCTAAGAAGATTAATGTCAACAGAAGAAATTAGGTAGATGGTTCCACAGAGCTTCAGATCCTTAAACTTAACTTCACATGTAAACTCACCATCTAACCTCAGTGGTTCACCGGATGCATTTTGGGCGGTCAAATTTGTGTGCCTGAGTGGTGGTCTACCGAGTCTCATCCATGATGATCGAGAAATTATGGTAATGTCCGATGCCGTATCTAATTGCAACGATATGGGAACAGTATTAATTTCAACGGTGAGGTACTTTCGCTTGCCGGCAAATTCTGTGCGACAGGTCGCGAGAACTACTTTTGTCTTTGCACCGTTAAAGGTCTTTTTGGATTTAGAGTTCGTGCGCAATTTAGGGTCAGACACAGTCCTGGAATTGTAGGTGGTGTGACAATGTGATTCTTTATGACCAAGGCGTTTGCACTTCTGACAGAGATGTTTCCTATAGGAACAGAAACGTACGAAATGCCATCCACCACAGTTCCAACAGGAAGTTGGGGGTTTCTGGTTGGGGACTCTATGGCTCGCATTTTTACCGCGAACAGCTGTATGATAAATTTGCGGTTCATTCCTAGGATGAGCATTTTCAATCATTTTGGTATCGTGTTTTAGATTAATCAGTCTCTGGCATTGGGCAGCAATGTCCTGTAATGTCATATGAGGTTCCTGTTCTAACTTATGCAGGATACGTGTGCGTACGTCAGCATCGGCGTGGGACTGAAGACTACAAACAAATATGAGGCTTTTGAACTGATCAGGTGTCATCATACCCAGTTTGAAACGTTCACATTCTCTATTCACAACTGCAGCATGTGTTATATAGTCATGAATATCACTTTTGACCAACTTAAAACAATGATAACGAATACTGAACAAGGATGCTTGCTCACCGAAAATAGTCTTCAGTATTGTCACCGTCTCGTCGAAGCGAAAGTCTCTGGGGTGCTTTGGCAGCACAAAATTCGTGTACCGTTCATGTTCGACTGCACCGAGTTTGCGCAACAACAACCGAACTTTCCATGCATCATCTTGTGCCTCCAATTTAATGCGGAAAATATCTTCATATTTCTTAAACCAGGATTCATCAAAAATGAACTCAGTAATGGATGCTGTAACTGCGTCTACTGAGATCCGTGCGCCAGCATCTTGGGATTCTGGTTTAATGTTCAATTTCTGGGCGAATAAGTCGAACAGCTGTTTCTGGGATCTCTCGAACTGCACCTGCTGTTGATGGAGGATCTGCTGCATCTGCTCAAAAGAAATGGCCATTGTTCAACACCTCCGTCGCCAGAAATCTGTTGTGTCTTCAGGGCTCGACTTAGCGGCTTCCTAGATTGTGCCACGCGATTCAAAAGACAAACCACTGGACGGAAGTGTGCTCGTTTGATTTTATATGTCTCACAGAAACAAGGAACATGTGAGTGGCGTGAAACAAGCGATAGTAACAATGTTCTGCAACATGGAAAAACACACTAGTCTGCTTGTAACTAAGACTGTTCTAATACAAAGCACACGGTTCCTTGTGGGAAATCGCGCACTTACCTTTCCGAACAAGTCAATTTGTTTCGTTTCGGTGCGCATTTGACTTTGGTCTGTGTGAAATTCTGTTTTTCCATCCAAGTTACAAGATTTGGCCTGAATCATTGGCGCCAACTCGACTTGATTTTCAGACAACGCGATTTTCCTTAGAGCAGGCCGTTCGAGACCTAACAGTGACAACTTACAAACGTGCCGAGCAGCACTAGACAGATTAGCACTGGCTGTCAGCCGTTTCAGGCTTTGCTTTATGCACTCGAAATGCAAGGCTTTCATCCAAGATTGGCAGGGACCACCTCTCGCGCTGGTCATTAGTGGGAATCAACGAGAAGTCGTTCAAAAATTCAACTACCTGGATAGTTGAATCAACGCTTGTGGAATAGAAGAGGGGGTCATGAACGGCATAGCAAATGCTGGAGGCGCTTTAGCTAACTTTCGCTACCAATGGCACCGGTGTGACAAAACTCTCTCCCTGAAGAGTAGAGGCTACAATGCAGCCGTACGTTCGCCCCTTGTTATAATTTTCTCACTAGACGCAACTCCAAAAAAACCAATTCACTGCTCCACAGAACTTCTAGCCCAACCGAAGGAAAAAAGCAAAACGCCAATGACCTTGACAAAACAACGTATTAATCGCTGTCAACGAACACTGTACAACGACTGCGGACCTTGGTTGTATTTATAGGTCTCTACTGACCTTCGACTTCTAGAATTGGAAGGTCAGCTGCCAAGGTTAGTGGTTCCCCATATCTTTTGCCGAGAGGTCAGGTGGCTTTTAATCACGTGAAGAAGAAGAACATTCCGGAACATTCGAAATCGATGCGATAATCGTTAATAATCGATTAATCGCTAAAATAGGGAATTTCAAAGGCAATTCTTACTTTCTCCAGGACAACCCTACTGTACGATTGCGATACCTGGTTCATTCGATCGGCAGACGTAAAGAGGCTAATTACGTTCGACCGCCGGTGCCTTCACAGTTTGGCTCACATCTGGCGGGAAAACCGGGTGAACAATGAGCATGTTCGACGCCTTGTTTATGTCATAGGAGGAGAACCGCTCAGAATTATTATTTCACGCATCAGGCTCCGATGTTTGGACACAAGTTACGCATGCTAACGCCCTGACTTCCGCGCCGGAGTGCGGATGGAAGAAGAGGGGTGGGCAAACGATGACTTGGTCAAGAGGATTGAAGGATCTTACTTCGAAATTGACCTCGGTTGAAGCCTTTCGGCTCCCTGGTTTGGGTCCGAAAGAGGATGATCATGTTTGGCTGGATACACTTGTTGATATTGCTAGGAACTCAGTGGCGTTTGTGTTGTGAGTTGGCTCGTTCCTCCTCTCCAATCACGGTCTCATTTACTATGATTAATGTCACTTTTTGCAGGACAATAGCCAGTTGTTAGTTCTCCGGAACGATGTCCGACCGCTACTGGTGACTCAGCCGGCGTGGCTCCGATGCGTGCGTTTCTCTCATTGGGAGATAATAGCGGTGGTTTCCACCTCTAACTAACGTGTATAACGATGAGGATTGAATCGATCTATCATTACCTCCTGTTGGCGCGCCGTATCTCGGCTCGTTCACAAGTGTTTCTGCCCTCAGTTCACATGGTGGGGGAGTGGTTCCGGGGTTTCGCTACTAATCCACGAGTAACCGACTTGAACGTGTGCTTTCGTGTTGTCCCAATCATTATCGTATTGATGGTAGCAACGTGGCAGCAAAATAGCAATACAAGGTTTCGTTGAACTTCTGAAGTTACCCTCGGATCCTTTGACTTTTGCTACACGTTGGCCATAGTCAGCTATGCGGTGGCACATCCGATTATACGGCACAGGGTGCCCCAGCGTTTACGGTGTGCGTACATGATTTTGCTTCCCGAGTAATGATGCGTTACTATGGCGGAGACCAGAGGGCCCGATTCATCGCTGTGAGTGTATTAAGACTGCATTTATAAAGGCTTAGAGTTGTCAAGCCATGTACGATGATCACGTTAGGGTATTGTGCTGTTCCTAGCACGACCACACTATCTGCCAAGATGATTGCTTCGCGTACAATGTTGGTCAAGAGTTCAAGTTGCACAAGATCATAAGTTAAGAGTAAAGAGGCCTACGATTTAAAGAAAGACCTGTGACTGACTGACACACAACAATAGACAGGCGTCAACAGAGCCAGGGGAAAATTAAAAAATCGCGTCACCAATCAAAAACGGCAGGGAGGAAGAACATGAGTGTAGCTACAAGTACTGTATTGGTGCATCTGCACTAACCAACGAACGATGTTCAGTCCAGACTATCGACACCACAATCCTGGGCCAGTTGTCGAAGTGTTTTCTCTGACTCTTCATGGTACCGTCTTTGATGATCTTCATAACGCATTTTGACGATTCGTTTGAATTCCTTTTGTTTTGCGTCTTCTCGAGACCGAAGGTACATAAGGCGTGTGAAACCATACACAATTCCGCAAATCAGAAGACTCCAGCGTGCGGTTCGAATCAAGGGGCTGACTTCTCGTGGTGGAGGTAGTGTGATCTTATGAACAGACTCCTCTACCTGGAAGTTGAGAAAACAATTCGAAAAGATTGATTAGAGTCTTGAGATTTGTAGATACAAATGGAAACAAAGTGTAATGAGGCGTACTAAACAATTGATTGTCCACGGTAGTCAGCATCAAAGGGCAATAGGGATAGAATTCAAATTTCACACAAACAGTATGTAAAAACCAGATAGACGTAAGATGAGCACCGAAAGGTGGAGATCCATCCAGTCGAAACAGATAAATGTGACAACAAAGGAGAGCCTAGTAAAAAGGAAGTGTAAAACTCACCCACTGATGAGTCAAGTTAACAGAAAAACTGGTACAGATCGAGCGTAACTCTTTTAGGTTTTAAAAGTCACCTGCGATTCAGTACAGCGCGCCTATGTGACAACGCTCATTTTTAAGGGCGCTTCACGAAAATTCTTTCTGTTATGAGGTCCCCACATGCAACCCAAAGGGAAAACCGCCCCAAATTTCACCACGAAAAACAGCGTATCGGAGGAGCACCAACTTTTCAGTTGATAGCATGGATGGAATCTATTTAAAGAATCAAGTACCATTTGCTTGTAACGGGTAAAAGCGTGATGAGACTGACAAACAAATCGGTTATAGAATTCGAGCGGCGCGTAAACCACCCGGTAAATCCAAAAGCCAAAGCCGTAGGAGAGCTACGGTACTATTTTGTAAAATGTTGGGGCAACAATTTGAGACTAACATAAGGAATATCTAGACCACGAAATATACAACGATTCTACGCTCAAAATACGACCATCCACAAAGCGAGACCAAATCGAGACGGAGGTCAACTGAGGTAAAACCAATCGAGTGCCAAAATAAAAGAGTTGAAATCACAAGCGATTTAAAGAAAAAGAACTGGCAATCCTATCAATCAAACCGTACTATATGTGGCATGTGATGAGAGCGAATTCGCAGACGAGGAAATACATGAAAGTATGGGTGGACATCAATCCTCTAGTTCAAGCTGCGAGAATGGGTTAGTGAATGAGGATCTACAGTATGTATGACATCGAACATGTACTGAGGGGCGAAAAATAGGGTTGGGGTCAAAAGTGGTTTGTAAGTAAGTGGTGTTGCTTTAACTAGGAGGTTGGGACAGGAACTCAAGATAAATAATGAATGGAAACAACGGCATGCTTGAACAGGCATATCTTCATAACGGTATAAGTGATGCTGAAAAGTGGTTCACAAGTACCTGCGGAGTCAATCATATCGGAATAATTGATGATTAGAAGTCAGGTAAACGACGCATCACCGCCACTCGGGTTGCAATCCGAGAAAAGCAACGGCATAGACGTCAATCACGTTTGTTAGGCAGAGAATAAGCAGCACAAGCTGTCTCTGACAACGGAAGAATTAAGGCTAAATCAATTTTTTAATCATGGCTCTAGTGCCGAACACTTTGCAGCACAAGCGGACACCAGTATAAGCCTGTGATGCCACAGCTGAAACGAGTCCCACCTCCTCTGTGCTTTGACTGATGAGTGGTCAATTTTTAACAGTGCCAGAGTATATAGTGGAAGCAAACTCAGTGCAATTCAAAATTGTATCGGATGTACATTTCCCCAATGTCAGATTCCGAATACGATTACACATTGACAATGATATCTGGTATTCGTGAGATCCAAGTTACTATGGGTCAAATGTTTGCCTACGATGTCAAGTGGTAATATGAAAAACGATCAGTGTTGACAAAACATATATAGTTCTAATACTTGCTGACGTTTTCATGACATTGAAGTTATGCCGATTTAAATTACTACTTTCCTTCATAAGAGTGCCTAGCACGACATATTGCATCAGCAACGGCTAAAAAGTCACCCGTCAGGGACACCTAAAAGCAAATTCTTAGTTTGATTAGAAAAGTTGCATCTAGTAGACTTGACAGCTGCCTTGAGGATGTCTCCATAACAGGCTGTGTATCGAGTATCCGCCTGGAATCGGAATCAAAAACGAACTGACTTAAACGTCGACCACTAATGTGGGCTGAATAGACGGAATTCGAGTGAGCCTAGACCACTCACAGCTCCAGTTTTCGGATGACTGCAGACAGCTGCATACATGCTGATCTCGGAATTGTGGGTACTCAACAATATTTAACTCCTCCGAACATGACGAATACCCAGACAGCGAGTGCCAGACACTCTGTGATGCATATCTCGAACAAACTCAACACAGTCAATTTTAGAGTCAAGTATTTAAATTTACTCGCCCACTGTATCCTCGGTGACTGTAGCATAATATACGTCAAAATGAGGAAGGGTGACAGAATCGTCTTGGAACACATGCATGCGTCGTGCAGTAAATATTCGACCAGTAAGCACTCTGCCATGAATTATCGAGAGCGTTGCAAAGAACATCAATTCGAACAAATTTGGATTCGACGAATGAAGCATAACTTGCTGCTGCTTTACAAGCTAGTACACAAGAAAACCCATTCAGATCTGCCTCTTCTTGGACTGAAAGATAACTCAATTCGAGAGCTCTGCAATAGTATACACTGGTTAAACCAAAGGATAGAACAAGCACACGATTCAATCTCTTCCTGCTAAGATATGCCTATCTGTAGAATAAACGGCTAATCACGCTTAGATCAAGTGAAAATGTGGCAAAAAGTGCTACCAAGTTACCTAGACCTGAATAGCATAATGACTACGCATATGGGAAAAACCATTCGAGGAACTATTCCTAGAGGAGCCCAAACACTGCTAAACATCTACGTCATCAAACCTCGATTTTCGCTTCCATCTAATAAATCGCCATTTTATGAGTCCTATGCCTCAATATTGTATACTGGAGTAACGTCTATGACAGCGCATTGATATTTCGGTATACAATGATCTGTACCGCTACAGATACAATTTCTAGGATCATGAGAAGTATGGGTATTATTATTATTATTATTATTATTATTATTATTGTTATTATTGATGAGTCAGCGAACATACTGAATATCCTCATGACATCGGAAATAGCTCGAGTCTAGTATTTGTTCTAATTATCTACTGTGTCGCAATACAATGTAGTCACATGGACAAAAAGGAGAGAGACAGACGAAAATCAAGACACCATGGAATAAGACAAACAACGCTAGGTTTTTAGCATGCATCGAGGATGAGATCGTGGTTAGAGGAGGGTTAAAGGGGAAGTACAAAGAATTTAACAACAGAAAGGCCGCTGTGACGGGCTCCCGGATACGCCAACAACTTTATCCAACCAAGCGTGTTCATTGTTTTTGGGACACAAACTAGGGAGTTTAGAGGCGGTAACCGGGGATAAGCTGAAGTGAGAGCCATCATTCAACTTGACTAAGTCATTCACCGGTCTCCTCTTTTCTTCCATACAGACCTCGGTCACGCAAACAACGCACATCACGGGAGTCGACGGGTTAGCATGTGTAACATGCAATCTAACCATTGGAGTCTGGTAAGTGAAATAACAGTGAGGAAATGGCTCCTCGAATTCCCGCGCCATAAATAAGGCACCGAACAAGCTTACTGCTCAATTGATGTTCCCACCAAACATTTTAAACTGCGAGGGCATCGGTGGTCGAAGGCAACTAGTTTCTTTACGTCAATGAATCCGATAGACAGGAATTCATAGCGTTACAGTAAGGATGACAGACGATCGCATTGTAGATCACAGTTTGTGACGAGAGTGATGTAGTGCCGAAGCAATAAGCGGCGAAGTCGAGAAAAAGCGCTATGCGGTCTTTCACTCTATCTTCTATTCCACAGGCGTTTATATAGCTTGAAACACTGAATCCCCTGCAACCACTTCATTAACGAAGTAAGAAGACATAGGTTGCGATATGTTAACATTTAGACTGCTCTCGTCAGTGGCTACGCAATACAGGCAGAACAAAACACGCAATAAATACGATCCACACTTAGTAACATAGACAGGCAGGTAAAATTGACGTGAATGAAGTAATCAGGTCCAAGGCAACCTAATTGATTGCCTCATTTGTTTCTGGGCACAGAGCACGGGACAATTCAACCTTACCAGTAGCGTCTCGTCAATTGTCAACAACGTCGGATTCCCGTTGCGCAATAGCACCCTTAATGAATCGAATGGGTTCACCTGGTGACCAGTCGTCATTAGGTGTTTGGTGATAGACGAGGCAGGGTTCCGGTTCATTCTTCGCTCCGCTCCGACTTGATGAGACAGCAACTGCCTTAGCCACAATGGGAAGTGTTCCGCAACCCTTTGAGGCAGCCGGCGACCAGTTTTGCCGATGTAAGTGTCACTGCAACTACAAGTGAACTGGTAGATGATGTTAAAGGTCGAACTGATTGGCGAGGTACTCGAACGGCTGTGGAGAGGAATCCTTCGTGTAGTGTTGAGAAGTCGTAGTTGGGCGAGGTGCTACTGATAAGGTTGAATTGTCCCGTGCTCTGTGCCCAGAAACAAATGAGGCAATCAATTAGGTTGCCTTGGACCTGATTACGTCACTCACATCAATCTTATCTGCCTATCGATGTTAATAAGTGTGGGTCGTATTTATTGCGTGTTTTGTTCTGCCTGTATTGCGTAGCGACTGACGAGAGCAATTGAAATGTTACATATCGCCGCTCATATAACTGCCAAAATAGTCGAAGTTCTGAACGAATGTTAGTTGATTCCCAGTGAGGGACTGAGCGAGTGGTGGTCTTTATCAATATTGGAGCAAAGCTTTGGATTCAGGGGGTCAATACAAAGGCCGGAATGATTGGCTGATAACCTTAATCTGCCCAAAGCTGTCTGGTAGGCTTACGAATTGTCACAGTTAAGAGAAACATAGTAGAAATAGTGAAATTCGTGAGGTTGGTCACCAAACAGCAGCACCACATCTAAATAATGTTCCATGAACACAGTTTCCATGACCTCGTCAATGGTAAATAGTGACAGCTGGCTAGTAGTAGGACGCTACGGCTCTGCAGTTGTTTTGTAGTTAAGTAGAAATGTATAAAGAGGCTATGGAGCGCTGACGCAGTGGTGGCTAGATCCAGACAGA